TTTTTTGGACAAATTTTTTCCAGATAACAATGCCCTTTTTCACTGTTTCTTCCTTCTTATCTATTTGTATAACATTGTGCGGAACATTTTTATAATTTATGATTCATCAATGCGATAAATTAATTACTTTATACTCTGAACTTGTTTGTTAGGTTTAGTTCAAGAGGTAACGAAGTAAGAAAGTAAATTAATTCTAACATTGGCCAATATCAAATAACAAAGGAATATTTGTTTGTTAAATTAAACATGAAGGTAAATAGATATTATTTTGGATGGCAATTTAAAAATAGAAAAAAAATTGATTAGATAAATAGAATTTTAAAATGGTAATGATTTTAATCTTTATTTACATTTCTTTCCACACATTATTTACTGTATTGTTCGTTTCATCGATAATAAAATTAATTGTTGAAATGGAAGAAAGGTTCCAAGCAAATATTTTTCTGTTTCTTCTCATTATACGTCATTTAAAAAATCATTAGTTTTTCTTTTACAAACATTTCATATTAATCATTTTAATGATTTTTTTGCTAAAAAAATTTTCAAATTTATATTCTCTGTCGACAAACATTATTTTCCAATTTTTTGTTATTTCATATTAATTGAGGAGGAAAAAAATAAAGAAAAGAAAAATGATTATACTTTTAACTGATTATTTAGACTATTAAGCATTATTTTGCTTGTTTAATTTGATTGTCTTTAGCAAATTTTCTTGAAAAATTTGAAAAAATCGACGTATGATATAATTTAAGTTCTGGTCTTCTGGATTTAACTTCCTTCACTTAGTATTTTGAATTTGAGGCATATTATTTGTACAACATATAGCTGAAACTATATTACAAGGAAATAGTTCAAAATTTGCCCGATTCTAGAAATGAAATTTTACTATTCATTTTTTTGAAAATTTAATCATAGTTAATTGTAAGGTTTAGTTATTTAGTCCTTTGATGTAACTCTTTATAAAGAAATTTGCAATTTATCTAACAAAATATTCATATAATTTCATCAGTTATTCGAGAATATTCTAAAGAGCTTAATAAATTTATTTTATTGCCAATTATTGTGTTTATTAAATTTGATGACATATATCTTTCGGAATATTTGATGTATGAATGATGATGTTTTTTTTTAGGAAATTCGAACTTTTCGAGGTTAGACTTGTTTAAAACAGTCTTTAAAATTTTTCGAAAAAATACTTTCAAATATTTTAGGCCGAAGTGCGGAATTCAGTGTTATATTTAATTATTTCTTTTGTCTAATTTTTTTCGACGAATTAATTATCGCTTGACATGTTTTTTTTTTGTTTTTTTTCTTGGATCTTTACAATTTTATGGAGAAATTTGATTTTTCACGCATACACTCACACACACACATCTACATATATTTCATTACCAATTTCCAAATTTAGTGAATTTCTTTCAACTGGGACAGAAAAAAGGGAATCGAATATTTGAATTGTGTTACTGATTGAGTGAAGAAAAATTTATCGCACTAAAATGAAGCAAGAATTTTAGACTATTAAAGTTTTCTGGCAAAATTTTGGTTTTTTAAAAATATTTTCTAAAAATTAATAGTAGCTATTATTTCATAAATATTATTACCTGCTGATATACAGTAAGTTGTTGAGGGGAAATTATTAATAAAACAGGATAGGACAAAAACTGTCACATTAATTGTGACATTGATGTGACAATTTTTATTTTGTAGAAGGAAAAATTACATTAATAGTTTGCCTTATTTATCATTATTGTTATTAAGATTGTTATTAAGAAAATGATATAAGTTTTAGATAATATAATCGCTACAATTTTTGTACTATCAATTTTCAATTTTCATCCATCCTTCACTGCAATTACTTTCTACACAGTTAATTAGCGAAGATAGGTAAATCGTATTATTCCAGTTGTTTTTTACATCATTAACTTTTATCTTAATTGATTTTTTGTTATATTTTAGTAAATAGCCGAAGTGCGTGTAGTAATTTATGGTAAAGAAAGAAACAAAGATCTGAACTTCAGTTTGAAGAGAATTTTATAGTAGCAAATTTCCAGAATATGTTTCATTTTATCATTAAAAAAATCTTTGAGGATTTCGTTTTTTTTGTTCCATTTTAATTTTCCAAATTATGGGTTGAATTTGAACTTGAATAATGAAAATTCAAGAATGTTTGCCGAAGATGATAGATAACATTCGAAACGTCGCATGAAATTTAGTGAATTATTAGATGTGGAATTCGAATTTTCGTTTATTAAAAATATCCCATCTTATAACTTTCATATTTTTAAATTGTACCTTCTTATTGAGAAAAATAAATTAAATCTTCCAGAAATTTTGTCGATCAACAATTAATCATTTAGTCAAATAGAAGATACGATAGTTCTGTTTTGTTTTTAATTTTGCAGAAAAGCACAAATTAATAAGCCTTTTTTTCGATTTTTGATTTCAGATTCGTTCACCTTCAAAACTGTTGACCAAAAAATATAAAACAAAAGTATAAGCAACAAACATCACCAAATAACATAGTCCAAAACACAGATAGACTAGACATTTCAAGTTCTTTTAAAATAGTGATCATTAATCTTTAGCTAAGAATTGCCGATAACTTTGAAGTATTTCTAGGTTAAGTGTAGTTATCAAATAATGTCGACAGATCATCGTTGCTGAAGAAATTTTTTTTTGTAAAATAAAAAAAAGCATGGTTTGAATTTTGTACAATTTTCAACATCGTGAGATTTTTCAAATATCCTGAGGTTTACATTGTTTTGTGTTGTATAAGTAATCTACAACTAATTTTTCAATATAGTAAGCAATTAGCACAAAGAATAATTAATATCAGACTAAAAGTTTAACTCAATAGGATAAAATATTTGTTATACGGTGAATATCATTACCATGTTGATGCTTATTTTAGTAACAATTACATTTGCTTTATATTTTAGCTGTCACTAAATAGCAAAAAAAAAAATTTTTTAAATTGACGCAACATTAGAAAACAGGTGGGCGAACAAAAAAGATATATTTGCTCGATTATAACAATCGGATGAGACCTTTTTCATCATACAAAACTGGTTTGGATAGATAAGGTGATGTGGAATGATGAGTTGAGTATATATGTTTATAGGTTTATTGTAGTTTAAAATGAGTGCTATCATTTTAGATGGAGTAATTGTTCCATATTTTCTAGCAATAAATAATTCATGATCTTACTTATTACATATTTAAGATTATAAATAATTAGGTTGAAGGAAAGTTTTGTAAGGACTCTCAACATCTTTTCATTATTTGAAGTACTTGCAAAGTTCTTAAATTAGTAACATTTTTTTTTGCCGTATAATTTTATTAAACATCAAGTAATTTGTTGCCTGATGAGATAACTAAATACTATTATATTTCTGAGTAAATTAATACATCGTTTATGTGTTGGTTGGGAAAATTTTTTTTCTTTTTAATTCCTAATTTGAAACTCATAAGAATTGTCCACTTTTAATTTTTCATCTTTTTATCATATTCTTTTTTTAAAATTAGAATATATATATTCTATAGCGAATCATTTTAGTCTCCGTTGAAGGATTTTTAGATTCATTTGAAATTATACAATTGCTAAAAAAAAAAAGAAATACAGTTTGGATGAATCTGAGCTGACCCGGGGAGAATGACTTATGAAGGGGTCATGATGTCATAATCCAATGCTTCTTAGAGAGTTTCGTTTCGTTTTTTTTTTCAAGAAAAAATAATGCAAGATCTATATTTATCCATTACAATTATTTTCACAGCGGAATTTATGATTCCTTAAAGAACACAGTATATTTCTTTAGTGAAAAAATTTATTATTGAAATATACAAAGATTTTTGAAATATATTTTCCGATGATATGGATTTATGATTTCTTAAAGAACACAATGTTCCGTTATAAATATCTATTAAAAAAAATATTATTATAAAATATGATGTGTTATTTTAAATAATAACATATCAGAGTATAGAGGAGATTTTTTTTTAATTTGCATATTTTTTAAACAGCGTGTTTTAAGTTTATGTATATGTACATTTTAAGATCTATTATAATAAATAGATCTTAAAATGTACATATGCAATATATACAAATTTATTTTTAAAAAGCCTTTCATCTTTCGTTCTGTCATAATACTATAAAAAAACATCAATAAATAGTAGGAAGCACAGAGGATTTGATAAGAGCAATTTTTTGAACTTTCTTGCTTGACAAAGAAATAAATGTACTTATGAGCAGACACACACACACACACACACACACACACACACAC